TGCCTGTGTGTGTCTGCCTGTGTGTGTCTGCCTATAAGTCTGCCCGTGTAAGTCTGCCTGTGTGTGTCTGCCTGTGTGTGTCTGCCTGTGTGTCTGCCTATGTAAGTCTGCCTGTGTGTCTGCCTGTGTAAGTCTGCCTGTGTGTCTGCCTGTAAGTCTGCCTGTGTGTGTCTGCCTGTGTGTGCCTGCCTGTGTGTGTCTGCCTGTAAGTCTGCCTGTGTGTGTCTGCCTGTAAGTCTGCCTGTGAGTGTCTGCCTGTGTGTGTCTGCCTGTGTGTGCCTGCCTGTGTGTGAATGCCTGTAATTCTGCCTGTGTGTGTCTGCCTGTGTGTGTCTACCTGTAAGTATGCCTGTGTGTGTCTGCCTGTGTGTGTCTGCCTGTAAGTCTGCCTGTGTGTGTTTGTCCGTGTGTGTCTGCCTGTGTGTGTCTGCCTGTGTGTGTCTGCCTGTGTGTGAATGCCTGTGTGTGATTGCCTGTGTGTGTCTGCCTGTGTGTGTCTGCCTGTGTGTGTCTGCCTGTAAGTCTGCCCGTGTGTGTCTGCCTGTGTGTGTCTGCCTGTGTGTGTCTGCCTGTGTGTGTCTGTCTGTGTGTGAATGCCTGTAAGTCTGCCTGTGTGTGTCTGCCTGTGTGTGTCTGCCTGTAAGTCTGCCCGTGTAAGTCTGCCTGTGTGTGTTTGCCTGTGTGTGTCTGCCTGTGTGTCTGCCTGTGTAAGTCTGCCTGTGTGTCTGCCTGTGTAAGTCTGCCTGTGTGTCTGCCTGTAAGTCTGCCTGTGTGTGTCTGCCTGTGTGTGCCTGCCTGTGTGTGTCTGCCTGTAAGTCTGCCTGTGTGTGTCTGCCTGTAAGTCTGCCTGTGTGTGTCTGCCTGTGTGTGTCTGCCTGTGTGTGAATGCCTGTAAGTCTGCCTGTGTGTGTCTGCCTGTGTGTGTCTGCCTGTAAGTCTGCCTGTGTGTGTTTGTCCGTGTGTGTCTGCCTGTGTGTGTCTGCCTGTGTGTGTCTGCCTGTGTGTGAATGCCTGTAAGTCTGCCAGTGTGTGTCTGCCTGTGTGTGTCTGCCTGTAAGTCTGCCTGTGTGTGTCTGCCTGTGTGTGTCTGCCTGTAAGTCTGCCTGTGTGTGTTTGTCCGTGTGTGTCTGCCTGTGTGTATCTGCCTGTAGGAGGAGCGGTAGTGTCGTGGTTAGCGCACTGCGCTACGAACCCAGCGCCCTGAGTTCGACTGAGCCTCACAAGAGTAGCTGGTGTGGTGCCTAAACATTAGCACTGGGGAGACAAAGGCGGCCAGGCGTGGTTCTAGCCACCCATCCCTTCGTATGCAGTTCCCGCCTTAATAGGTGCTCGCTAATAGCACTTGCCCCAACAATCTGTTAATAGCATTCGGGGAAGCTGAATCTGTGTCTTTATGTGTGTCCTGCACACGGCAGGCGTGCAGGACACCTGTCTGACTGTACACGTGTCTGTCTGGACACGTGTCTGTCCGTACACGTGTCTGTCTGTACACGTGTCTGCCCGTACACGTGTCTGCCTGTACACGTGTCTGCCCGTACACGTGTCTGCCCGTACACGTGCCTGTCTGTACACGTGTCTGTCTGGACACGTGTCTGCCCGTACACGTGTCTGTCTGTACACGTGTCTGCCCGTACACGTGTCTGCCTGTACACGTGTCTGTCTGGACACGTGTCTGCCCGTACACGTGTCTGCCCGTACACGTGCCTGTCTGTACACGTGTCTGCCTGTACACGTGTCTGCCTGTACACGTGTCTGTCTGTACACGTGTCTATCTGTACACGTGTCTGCCCGTACACGTGTCTGTCTGTACACGTGTCTGCCTGTACACGTCTCTGCCTATTCGACGTTCGTTCGCTCCACGAGGCAGTGCGGAGCGTGTCTGTTTATGCGTGTCCGAGCTCAAGCTGAGCGGGTTTTTTATATGCACCGGCAGCAGCATAAACATTTAAATCATTCAGGCCGACCACGTCCATCTATCCATCCACCCAGCCATCCATGTAGCCGTACACCCATAAAGCTATACATGCCATCCGTATAGACAACAATCCATTCGACTCAGCTGTCCATCCATCCAGTTATCCAGAAAGATATCCAGCTATCCATCCGTTCGTACAGCCATCCGGCCTTTAATCCATCTATTTAGCAAGCTATCCAGCCATCCATCAAGACTATCTAGTCAGCTATCCAGTCAGTCATTCATCCGTAGAGCTATCAAGCCATTGCATCTATCCATCTCGCTATCCAGTCAGCTGTCCATCCCTCCGTCCGTCTGTCCAGGCATCCATCCATCCATCCCATCCTTCCAGCGATTCATCCGTCAAGCTGGCTGGCCATCCAGCCCCACTCAAGTCTACCGCACAGAGCCCACCTCCTGCAAAAACCCAGGGAGGGCGTTCCGAACATCCCCGCGTGTCGGCGCCCTGAGCCTTCGTGGATCGCGGAGCGAATTTGCGCGGAGCAGCGACTGCAGCATCATCAGCAGCAGCAGAGCTCCCAGCCACGCGCGCGCACGCACGCGGCGTGTGCCTGCCGCCAGTCTGTCTCGCTCCGTGTCTATCTCCCCGTCCGTCTGTCTCCCTGTCTATCTCCCTGTCTGTCTGTCTGCTCGCCCGGACCGCGAGCTGGGGCCTAGGGGGGTGGGGAGCGAAGGAAGCTGCCAAGGAAGGATGCCGAGACGGCTTGTGAGCTGGCTAGAGACGTGATCCTGCTGTGTTTGGGTTCGTCTCGCCGGAGCCGGGAGGAGGAAGTGGGGCAGCTGCTTGCGCGTCTTTGCGAGGTTGGAAACCGTCGCTCTGTGCCTGGAGACGGAGTCGCGAGCGAAGTTGGATTAGCGAGGGGCGAGACGCGCTCGGGACTTGTTAGAATCGGGTCCGGTAAGACGCACGGAGTGTGCCCCACGCCGTGCCTTGCGGAGCGCGCGAGCCTTGTCATCAGTTGAGCGCAATCTTTGCTTCGCATTGACCAACGTCGCGTCGTTGTGTGAGTGTGTGTGTCATTCATCGGCTTCCCATCATTAATATCACGGCGGCGGTGTAAATAGGCAAAGCTATAAATATAGGATTCGGTGTTGACTCGATAAGAATCTACACATCTATATATATTTTTTTAAGGATACAAGAAGCACGCCTCTCTTTCTCTCGCCTAGCGTTTGCTTCATTGCGCACACGAAACGTCTATTTTTTAAAACGTCAGTCGCGTCTAAGCGCACGCCCACACGCGACTCGGTGCCGAAGCTTCGCCACCACGAGTCGCGATCGCTTGGATGCACCCCGCATCGCATGCGAGCCACGGCACCACCGCTCTAGCCCGCATCGCATGCGAGCCACGGCACCACCGCTCTGCCCAGGCCACGCTCGGCGCGCTCCGGTTTGGCGCAAAGCGGATTTGCCGCATTACTGAGAACCGATTTACAAATAATTCTCCAGCCTCGCGCAAGGAACAGCGCTCGTGGGTGGGGGAGCCGCGGGCTTGCTTGTGCGAGGCGAGACGACGCGCCACAAATAGCGATGCCCCTGCTCATGATGCTCATGATGCTGATGATGCTGATGAGGATGAAAGCGTTGCGCTCTTTAGAATGGCACCGGGAAGCCGGCGTGCAGCAATCCGTAATCGCCACAACTTATTAATGTGCGCAGGACACTTCATGATTTTGCGTCAAAGTTGGCACCGTCCAAATGCGCCACCGTTTATTTATCGGAAGTAAACATAAAAAACATACTGATATACACAAGCACATATATATATATATATTGATACATCCTATATCAGCGAGTGCGTCCACCCTCATGTGGCAAAGGTGGGACACACACGCACACATCCGTGTACCGCTGTAAGTGAATATCAAGAGTAGGAGGCATGAGAGAGGAGGGGGTGGCGTGCGTGCGAGGAGGAGGAGGTGTCGCGGGGAGTAGAATCTGTGCGCGGCGGTGCCGTGCAAGCGCCGCTCTGTGAGTGCGTAACGCTCGCTACGGGAGGCCGTGGTAGCGCACACGAGACGAGGAAGGTGGGGAGGCTGGTGAGCTGTGGGGGGGGGGGGTGGACCACGTCTGTAGGGAGACCAACAGCGGCCGCGGCGGCCGGGGTCGGAGCGCAAACCAACCCCGTGCGCGAGCGCGCCATGCGGCACTCGACTCGACGGTGCTGCACGAGTTGTCGGCAGTGCGTCGCGGCAGCCTCGGCGACGCTTAGTCCGGCTCGCAGCTCGCAACGGCTTCGCCGCCACGAACGCGGCTACCACCACCACCACCGACAGCACCACCACCACCAACAGCAGCACCACCACCAGCAGTACCACCGCCAGCAGCAGCAGCAGCGGTGTTACCGGCTCGCGAAGAGCGAAGAAGACTCTTTAATCATCATCATCACCGCGCCGGCTGCTTGCCACGTCGTCTAGACGAGTCGCGTGGCGCAAACCCGCCTCGTCAGCATCGCCATCGTCTCCTCCTCCTCAGAGGAGGAGGAGAAGAGGGCACAGAAGGACAGCCGGTGGCGGCGGCGGTGGTGGTGGTGGTGGCTGCGCAGGGCTGGGTGACAAGAACCAGGCTGGCTCGTGGGGTTCTTGAAGTCGAGTGCGGTTGGTGGAGACAGCTGCTACACCTGCTACAGCTGCTACTGCTACAGCAGCTACAACTACAGCTGCTACAGCTGCTGCTGCGCCGGCGGTGGTAGTGGAGTAGCTGCCAGGGCTGGTGGTGCCGCGTGGGTTGCTGGTGATGGAATGGACTGGGTAGGTGGTTGAGGTTGGGAGAGGACCGACGTTGGTGGTGGAAGAGGTCGTGGTGGGTGTTCGGGGTTTTTCTACGGGTGGTGGTGGAGGAGGTGGTGGTGGAGGAGGAGGAGGTGGTGGTGGTGGGGCCGAGTGAAGGGGGTGTGGGGGTGAGAGAGGTGGGGGAGGAGTGGAGGTTTGGGGGTCGGGGTGGAGGCGGGTGGGCGGCCTGCGGGTTCGGTGGTGGTGGTGGGGGGTGGTGGGGGCTGGTGGGTGGTGGTGGTGGGGAGGGGGCGAACCGGAGTGACGTTACCGAATTATGCCGCTCGCCAACGCGGACTAAAATGTGGGGGCTCGTGGTTGCTCACTGGCTCCGACTCTGCCTGCTCACGGCGGTCCACCTCGGCCGGTGCGCCGCGGCACCCGGAGACCGGCACCAACAGCAGCAGCAGCAGCAGCACGCCGCCTCCTCCTCCTCCTATCCGATGCTCAACATCGGCGTGGTGTACCAGGGCACGTCGAGCCAGCTGGCCGAGATGAAGGGCGTGCTGAGCAACCCGCGCTTCCTCGGCTACCCCATCGACGTGAACGTGGTGGTGACCACGGGCATCGGAGACACGAACCCCCGGGACGTGCTCACGCAGGTGTGCGACGTGCTGTCCAGCCTCAAGACGCACGGGGTCGTGTTCGGCGACGAGACGGGCGCCGCCGCACTCGCGCACATCCTCGACTTCATCTCGTCGCAGACGCGGGTGCCCATCATCGGCATCCGCGGCGGCTCGGCGGTCGTGATGACCAAGAAGGTGGGTTGGGTTGGGGGGGGCGCTGACGCTGTGCGAGTGTGGGGGGTGCTCGCGGTGGGAGATTTGAGAGGAGCGGGAAGTGCGCTTCGCTACTCCGCTACGAATCCCCCGGCGACCAACACGAGCCGCCGTTGTCTGGACCGGTCCTGGGCCTCCCCCCAAGGTCGACTCGGCCTCAAATGAGTAGCTGGTGCGGTGCGTAGTAAACATCGCCGCTAGGGAGACAAAGGCGGCCGGGCGTGGTGTTGCCCATGCTAACCCTAGTGTGCCGTGCCGGCCTTCATAGGTGCTACTCGCTAACAGCACTTGCCCAACAGTCTGTTACAGGCTACACGGGGGATCTTTGTCCTTGCTCGCAAATGTCTCACTCGGGATGATGATGATGACACATACACTGCCCCTGCTGCTGCTGTTGCTGCGGGGATGTTATGATTGCTGTACTGGTATGACTGCTATTATCGCTGACTGCTACAGGAGTGTGATGGATTTCTGCCGATACAGGACTGGTGCATTGCTATGCAAGCTAGCATCAATACGGTTGCCACTTTACAATGTGATGTTCACGCGAGTACCGTCGTGCTACTTGCAGGAAGAGTGCTGCTGGTACCGACAGGGCGAGCGCGTTGCTTCCTTAGTCCTGCTACTGACACAACACTCGAGCTATCGAGACAACTGGGCGACGCTATCACTGTGATCGTGTCGCCATCCCTAGTTGCTGTCGTAGTTCTTGGGACGTAGCGGTGCCGAGATGTTAACTACCTCGCCCGCTACACAGGAGCCTGTGGGTTCAATCCCGACGCCTCGATGTTTGGAGATGAAGTGCCTCTCTCTCTTTCCCCGTGGCCGCGTGGATTTGTATCGGAGTTCTCCGGTTTCCCCCTCCACATTTAGAATCAACGTCACGCGTTTAGAGCATTTGCCTGCTGCTGCTGTGAATGTCCACGTGAATGTCCACGTGATAATCCACTCGGCTGGACTATCGTTGAGCCCGGGATGCTTCTGAAAAGTAGCTGCACAGCCCAATGGTCCTGAACTGGTAAAATCAAATATATATTTAGAGTTGATTATATATATACAATGACTGCCAAAGGGATCATTGCGATGTGTTACTAATACGAGACTGCTCACGACAGCAGTAAGTGTATGAATATTACAACCACACTTCCTGCCACTGCTGCGTCTACCACGCCGTTACTGCCGGATCTCGACATACAGTTCACGACGAGGTTTACTGCGAATTGAATGCGGCCCTCCGTGATTACCATGACCACAATGACACCGTGATGCTATTGCTGAAGAACTACTACCACAGGACTACGATATGACTACTCCTAGCACAGTAATATTACTACAGTAGTAGCACGATAGTTCACTACGACTGCGACTATATATATACCAGAGGTGCTCCTGCTCCTACACGGGGGTACGTCTCCCGCTTGACTGCTACCAGAGTCATACTGGTCCTGTGCTACTGCTGATGAAATCCTACTATCAAAGGGCTCTATACTACTTCTAGCCGAGCGCAATACTATTACTACTCTACCGCTCCCAAATCAGTATGACTTCCGTAATAGTACTATTTGTCTATGACAGTGCTGCTATCGCCAAAGCAAGAGGTTCTACTTTTTAACTACGACTATCATAACATCAATACCACCACAGTAATAATACCATACTACTCCTAGCATAGTACCAGTTGCTTGCTGAAGCACGGTACAACTAGTACGTACACTACAACTACCACTACTACTATTACTTTATACTATATCGCAGCTCCTACAGTATGATAGGTATGACTACAACCACGTGGTATGGTCACTCAGAGTCAGGTGACAGAGGGGAGTTTACGAGTTCACATCCCTGGCAGTGGCCAACTCGGCTTCATCATCCTCTCTGGGGGTCAATAAAATAGGTACCATTATGCGTGCCGTAACCAGTGGCTGTCCTCTGGCTAGGCGAGAGCTTCACCACCACCACCACCACAGCGATTCGGCATGAATATCATCAAGCGACGAATGTGTGTAGGGTCTTTCGTGACTGCAGGGATTCATCTTCTTGGTTCTTTCGGTAAAGTCACGTAGAAGGGAAGTAATAAAATAATAAAAATAAAAAATAATTTTATAATTTTATAATGTTTTATTTTTATTATTTTATTACTTCCCTTCTACGTGACTTTACCGAAAGAACCAAGAAGAGGTGTACAGGGTCGTTGCACCTTCGGAGTGAATGTGCCACCGGGTGTGGCCACGTTCACCGGGGGCTTCGTTACCGGGGCTGCACGAGCGCCGCGTGTGAAGTTGCGGACCCTCGATTCATTTTATTCACGAACTGTGACCGGGCACGCCAGAGACAATATACAAGAACGTAGAATCACAATAATAACCGGGATAACAAAGAACCTGACGTGGTACCATTCCCAACAGGAGTCTCCCAACAGGAGCGCTCATGGAGGCTGTGTGCCCTTGGCAATCGATGTAAATCATTCACAGAGCGCCGCTCAATGAACCGGGGCATTGCGAGCGACTGAGATGTGCGAGAGACGACGCCTGCCCCATTGCCACGAGAGAGAAATTTTATCTGGAAATAAGTTTATTTTTTTTATAAAGAAATGTAATTTATGCGCTAACACCAAGACACCAGACGTGGAATGAATAAATGTTACTCATACAACCATCACACACCTGAAACTACCTACTGCGTCCCTAGCACTGTGCCACAGAGCAGCGAGCGTGCTACGCGTGGTGCATGATGAGTAGCTGTCTCTGTGCACACGCAGACTGGAGGCTTGATGAGTGTGTCACGGACTCAGAATCCCATTGCGGTACGGGCACTTGCTTCGTCTTTCCTAACCTCGCAGTGTAAATCAAATACAGCTTCGTAAAGCAAGGCGCGTGTGTCTGTGTGTGTGTCTGTCTATGTGTGTGTGTCTGTGTGTGTGTCTGTGTGTGTGTTTGTGTGTGTGTCTGTGTGTGTGTCTGTGTGTGTGTCTGTCTATGTGTGTGTGTCTGTGTGTGTGTCTGTGTGTCTGTGTGTGTGTCTGTCTATGTGCGTCTGTGTCTATGTGTGTCTGTGTGTGTGTCTGTGTGTGTGTATGTGTGTGTGTCTGTGTGTGCGCGCGGCACAATGAGACGGACCACCTCTGGAAGTGAGCTTCTTCTCCAGTGTATGGCCGCGTGTGTAAGCAGCCGCCTCGCCTGCAGCCATTTGTAAATCCACTGCTGGACTGAGGCCCACTGCGTGTGCGTGTGGGTTGGGGAGGTGGTGGGGGTTTCTTCACCGCGTATTCACCACGCGGTTCAGTCACCGCAGGTTACTGAAGGCGTACAGAGCCCCCCCCCCCCCCCATCACTCGCCACTAAAAGTTCGCAGTGGTCAGAAGTCAAACTCAGGCCGCTGGGTATTAGCCCATCATGGGCCCTATTTAAGGGTGTGTTGTGCTGTCACTGGCGGTAAGAGAGAAATTGAATTCAAATCAGCCACCGAGTCAGGGCCCAGTGGCTTTTCTCCCACCGGGGCATTCAATTAAAGCTGCTTGACCAGCTCCAAGAACGTGGCAATTTCCTGCACGACGTCTCTCTACGAGCGCATATCAACAAATCTCACGCCACCTTCATTAACGCCACCATTCTACAAGCTAGACACAGCGCACATAGCTTCCCTACAAGTGCCATCGCCTCGAGCGCGAGCCCATTGTACATATACATCGCTGCCTGCTGTCATTATAGCAGATGCCGAGGAGGCAAACCCGTATTAGGAAATAAATCAATCAATAATCACCCACCGGGTCTCGTCGTGAGTTCGAACGGCGCTCCCGCAGCGGTCGCAGCGGGAGCCGACGCAGGGGGCAGCGATCCGAGTTGAAGGCGGCGGGACGAACGGGAGAGCATTCGTCACCGATTAAACGGGAAGGAGGAGTCGGTTGCGAGGTCGTTAGTTTGTCTGTCTGTATGCTGAACTTAATTCGCACCGGACGCAGCCAACCGTGCTGATCGGAGGTTGCAAATGAATGGGATTGGCGGAGAGTCGTGGAAAGTTCCAGAAAGGATGGGGAAGAGAATAGACGACGGAGTCATTCCCCGACGTGTGACGATCTGTGCGGAAGACGTAAGAAAGGAAGAGCAAGTTGAAGACTCGCCCGAGCTGGAACTCCTCAACGTGTATTCACATGGCCAGGGGAGGTTAGCGCCTCGCGCCACGGACCCAGCCACCAGAGTGTGAGTCCCAGCCACGGTTCACACCAGCGGCGAGTGGCACTCAAACTCGCCCTGCGTGACCCCCCTACACCAACCATCGACCCGTGTGGCCGGACAACCACTGTGACCGACACAGCATGGGGGAGACCCTCACTCAGCAGTGGGTTGATAAATGTGTTGAAAATTACGAAGTATTCCATGATTGTTCTTATTAAGAGGAGCCACTGAGAAATGGTTGCAGCAGGGACTCAGCGCATCCTTTTATCCACATTGTCTGTGGATAAGAAGCATTTAAATTCGTCCAATTGTTCACATTTTTCACAGATCAGAGAAGGCATTTGGCAAAATGCATCCTATGTATGTGTATCTGTGGATAGCTCTGTGTAAGAGGAGTTTTTTCTATTTTCAATCGTGCCCCCCTGTATGAATGTGGGGCACTTAGATCAGTGTCAAGATCCCCATCTCCAAATGTGTGCGAGTCATAGGTAGCCCGGAGATCAGAGGGGTGAGTCGGCAATGCTGAGATCCCGAGTTTAAATCTGGACAGCGCACGTGATAGAACTGGATTGCCAAGTGCAGCGAGTTGACAGTTGCAACCAGTACACAAATTATTGATGGCCAAAAGAAAAAAAATCCACCGCTTTAAATCTGGTGTTGCACTTTATTTAGATAAGCTCCAGCTCTGAGAACGAACATAATTCACTTGACTGTCATGGGATGAAAATTACTCAGTAACAGAGCATGTGGGGGAGGTGCTGCCCCCTAGTGTGCAGACGATGTCACTTGAAAGGGATCTCAGAAGTAGTT